CTTTTCTAATCCACAGTCCCTAAGTCCATATTCCTCTAAACAAAAATATGGTCCAGCCTATCACAGCAATACCCCAGTCCCTGGTACCAACTTCTAACTTAGTTAGCAGTTCTACTGCTGTGAAGAGATACCATGACAACTCTTATAAATGAAAAAAATTAATTGGGGCTGGCTTATAGCTCAGAGGTTTAGTCCATTATCATCATGGTGGTTGGCATGTAGACCGACATGGTGTTGGAGAAGGAGCTGAGAGTTCTACATCTTGATCCACAGGCAGCAAAAGCAATCTGTGGACCATACTAAATTTAGCTTGAGGATAGGAGACCTCAAAGTCTACCTCCACAGTGACACACTTCTTTCTTTTTTTTTTTGGTTTTTCGAGGCAGGGTTTCTCTGTGTAGCTTTGGAGCTTGCCCTGGAACTCCCTCTGTAGACCAGGCTGGGCTGGAACTCACAGAGATCCACCTGCCTCTGCCTCCCGAGTGCTGGGATTACAGGCGTGCGCCACCACTGCCCGGCCGCCATTTTCTTTCAAACCACAACATGCTATATGAAAACAACATTTTGTTCTGTTACTGTGTATTAGTGATTAAAAACAATTTAAGAAGATTATCGTTTCCAATGGGGGAAGGGGGAGGAAACCTCCCACAAAAATGTGCAAAAGAGCTAACACTGATAAGCCGGCTCAGTGTGAGCAGGAACAGCTAAGGAGATGAGATTGTTGGGCCCCAGGTGTTCAAGGCCAGCCAGGGTAGGGCAGGGGACCCACCTCCCTTTTTAAAAAAGGCATTTGCTGAAACTCTGCCCCCTAACATCATGGCATCAGGGACTGGGGACCTTAGGGGGCGATTGGGGTTTAATGACAACGAGGGTGGAGATCCCATGGGATCAGCGGCCGTGTAAGAAGAGAAAGAGAAGGGCTGGGGACATGGCTCAGCTGGTGGAGGGCTTGCCTGGACCCTGCAAAGCCTTGTGTTGAGTCCCAAGCATTGCATTAAAAAGCAGACAGCCAGCACCACGCTGGGAGAGAGGTGGGGCAGGAGGGTCTGAGGTTCAAGGTCATCTGTGGCTAGATGAGTTCAAGATAAGCTTTTCCTATCAAAACTGCAGCAACAGACGAAACAGGGAGGGGGGAGCGCAGAGCTTTCTTTTTGTGCTCTGGGAAGAAAGGCCATCTCAACTCCAATTACAAAGGCAGGCGACCATCCACAGGCAGGGAGGTGGGCCTGGCCAGGCACAAAATTTGCTAGCGCCTTGATCTCGAACTTCCGAGCCTCCAGAGCTGTGAGAAAGAAATGCCTATTGTTTAACCCACCTGCTATGTGGCATTCTATTACAACAGCCTAAGCAGCGGAGACACCATGTGAGAAGTTTATAAAGTGGGGGGTGGGGGTCAGGTTGTGGGGTGTGGGTGGGGGTAGGTGTGGGTTGGGTGGGGGCTGGCATGGGATGACTCAGGAGACCACACTGGGCTCAAGCCATCACTAAGACCATGGGTCTCAGCTAAGACACTTCCATACAATACAGGCATGTGATGCTATTGACATTTCATATGAAGTGAGCATCCTAGGGTCATAGGTGAGGCCAACAGAAGGGGGGCCAGGGCAGATGTAGAAGAGCAAATGACAATTATATGAAGACAGCGCAGAAGCCTGAGAAATAAAAGAACCAACAATTTTCCAACTTTCTTAAGTATTTACTGATTTATCCCTTAATGTACCTTTTAAAATATTGTTTATTATTATTTTAAGTATGATTCTATGTGTATGTTTTGCCTGAGTGTATTTAAGCACATTGTGTATGCATAAGCCACAAGAGGGCATCTGATCCCCTAGAACAGGAGTCACAGACAGTTGTGAGCTACCATGTGGGTGGTGGAAACTGAATCCGAGGACTTTGCAAGAACACTCAGTGCTTTTAGCCACTGAGCCATCTTTTCTACCCCTGGAGTACAATTTTTAGTTAATGCTTACTGCTTTTGCACCCTAAAAGTTAGCTCAAACACTGTGAGTTGGAGATTGCTATTAAACTCATTTAAAAGATAGAAATCTGAACACCATATAATGTACTATTACTACTATACTATTAATTTTAAAATTTGGGAAATAAGCCCTTCTTAAACAGTAGGAAGCTTATATATTATTTATTTTCTCTCAACTCAATACCATGTTCCTGAGAGTTTCATCTTAATTTATTGTATTATCACGTTTTTTATTGGTTGACCTAGTATGTGTCTCTGCAACCAGAGCATGTATGTATAAATTACCCAAAATATGGAAATCTAACACAACTTGAGTTGTCATCACACTTATTATTAGTATATAGTGGATCAAAATGACACAAATATAATAGAGTTTTTATAAATATTAGTAAATAAAACAATATTGATTTGCTATGTAAATAGTGTGTTTTGTCAAGTAGTTCTTGTCTCTATGGATGAATGTGATGAACGTGACTTTTCTGAATTACTGATAGAGTAAGAAAGCGTTCAGCAACAATTCTATTTTCCATTTTATAGATAAAAGAGATGAAAACTACACTCGTAAAAATATAACAGGTAAAAATAAAAAGGTTTGTTGTACTGATTCTTTGAGCCTCTGAGCCATGTGAAAAGCCCAAATCATATTTTATCACAAAATATTTTGATAATCTACCACCTGGTAATTCTGCTAGGTCTTCCTGCAATGTTTTAAGAATGGAGGATTGGGAAAGGTTGAAACAACCCTTCAGGTCCTAATATTTTCAGAGAAGAAAGGAAACTCAATCCCACATGTTTGACTCTGTAGACAGTCGGTTCTTGCTGTTCATGTACATGAGTACTCTGTAAGGCCACAGCACACACTGAATTAGGATATACATGATTAGGTTCCCAGGGGCTTTGGTCAACACATTTGAATGAGCTGATCAATGCATGCTTGTTTTATGTGTGTTTCTGTTTAAATACACTTACTTGTATATTTGCTGTATTAACTTTGAACTCACTGCCAGCAGTGCTATCACACATGCTTTAGCAAAGCTTACCCAATACCATATTTCCCCCTAAGCACATCATAGCGTTCTTACATTTAGGAACACGTTAGAGTACATTTGTGCTATGATTCTGAGCCATTGGAGACAGTGAAATTGCTCCCCCCTCCCCCAAGGCTATAAATGTAAGGAAAATAGCTCTAACTTTGCCACAAGCAGGGAATTAGTCACTGTCATTATATAAGAGCTGAAACAAGAGGCCAGAGCTCTGTTTGTCTTGTTTGCATTTAGCTGGGACCATGTGTGATGAGCAACTGAAAAATTTCACCAGTTTGTGTCCTGGTTAGTTTTTACTGACCTACTTGCCTAGGGATAATGCCACCCACAGTGGACTGGGCCCTCCCATATCAACCTTTGATCAAACCAATCTCTCCCAGACATTGTCACAGATCAATCCGATGGGGGCAGTTCTTCTTGAGCTCCTATCTTCTCAGTTGACTTTTGGTTGTGTCAAGTTGACAGTCACTAAGACACAGTTTGTGTAGATTTTTAGCACTTGTGCACAACTCTGGGATAGTGGTCTAAATGACTGAGGGCTTGTCTTTCTCTTGGAAAGCAGATAAAGGGAGATATAGCAAGGAGGGTTAGCAACAGTAACCCTTCATGCTGTTCGTCAAGGGTACAGAGGAAGATCTAAATCCACGATAGGAATCTTTCAAAGCATCACTACTCTTACAGTTCTGAAATTCTGCACCTCATACCCAGAAGTCCTGGATCTAATTTCAAAACCCATTGCTTTGCCTGCAAGCAGAGTGAAGACAGAGAAAAGTAGGGCAGACTAAACACAGCTTTGCAAAGAATCCACAGGGTTGTGACAGTTGAAACGGGCATGGGAGGTGAGGGAGAGGCAAATGTTGAGGTTGAATCTCACGATTCTGGCTTAAACAAATTGAAGTATGGTTTGCTGAGACAATGATAATTGGAGGAAAACCTGGCCCCAGGGAAACTCTTCATGGCCTGTCTCTTGTTTATTTATCTTGTCTTGCTAAGATATACTCTGTTGACTCGTGTTTTACTAAAATGTGACTCAGTTTTCTGGCTAGCTCTATTAAATAGATATGATTGTTGACATACAATATTTTAAAAATAATTTTCCCTTTGAAAATGATGTTCCCCCACCTCCAACTCCTAGACCCTGTTACCAAATAGCTTCCCAAAGATTCAAAACTCACAATCAAATGTGACATTGGAATGATCATATCCTCAGTCATATGAGTATTAAAAATTGGAAGCTATTTCCCCCCATTAGTCGTCTTTTTTTTTTGGTTTTTTTTTTTTTTTTTTTGGTTTTTTCGAGACAGGGTTTCTCTGTGTAGCTTTGTGCCTTTCCTGGAACTCACTTGGTAGCCCAGGCTGAGCCAAACACATCCCTATGTGGTTTCTCTGTCGTTGTCCTACTAATAAATATGAAGGGACCTGTGTGTTTTGAGGGCCTACATCCATGCCTGGACATAGTAAGTCCTCAATAAATAGTTGGGTGAGTGAAATATAGAACAATCAGTAAAATTGTGTAAGACATGTAAATGAGTATTCCCATGTATATGTAATCTTTTTTATCCTGGAATTCCTATGCCTCTTGGATCCACTCCATTGCGTGTACATTGCCTTTTATTAATCTCTTGAGGCTGTTTTGTTTGAGATAGGGTCTCACTGATGTCACCCCAGGCTGGTGCTCACATTTGTGATCCTCTCTCCTTAGCCTCGTACGATTTAACACCAGGCTTGGCAAATAACAGGGTTTTAAAACACTGAATCATGTCACAGGCTGTGAAAATCAAAAATGGAAGTTCCCCTTTCAAACTCTCAGATTCTACTATTCACAGCCATGGGTATCTCCCCCAACTGGGCTCTGCTATGGGCTGCCAGAGGTCTAATCTGAAATGAGAGGGGTCCACTGCCCCCCCCCCCACGCTTGGGCACTTCCGGTACCCACTCGGTCCCACGTTTGCCCCAGCTCCCGCCCCTAGCAACCACTGCGTGAGTGGCCTGCAGGCCTGCGGCTCTTTAGGTCTTGGCTCCCTGAGGCACGAGGCACTTGACCGTTAGCGAGATGGGGCTGGAGCTGTAGGCGCTGACCCCTGGCCCTGGGTGCTCCTGGGGTGTGCAGTGCTGAGGCAGGAGGAGAAAGAGGAAGAAGAGGAGGAGGAGGAGGAGGCCTTCACTGCCACAGCCCACGAGGTAAACGGGCATCTGACCTGGGCCTCTTTGTGCCCGGGCTCCTTGGGAATTATCCTCACAGGCGTCCCGTCGTCTTCTTCAGAGCAGGAGTTTCCTAGTTGCTTCTGATCAACTGGGCGGTAGTGAACCATCCCCGGACTGAGATTTTAAAGTTTGTTTTTCCCAGTCATACATAAATGATGCCTGTGCTCTCAGAGAAGCCTTACCGCGGTCTGACATCATCATGCACCCGCTGGTTTGTGCTAGCTCGCGTCTCTGATACTGTGGTACAACATCTCCCAAAAGTAACCTGGGGAAGGAAAGGGTTTTTTTGGCTTACATATATATCATGGCGAGACACCAAGGCAGGAGCCTGCAGGCGGGAACTGAAGCGGAGACCATGGAGGAGCCCTGGCTTGTCCCTCAAGACTTGTTCCTCTTCCTCTCTTCTGCAGCCCAGGCCCTCCTGCCTAGGGATGGCTCTGCTCACAGTGGTCCCCAGCCTTTTAGGGATGTCCTGCAGCAGTTGGCAGTCAAGAAAATGCCCCCACATAGATCCCCAGGACAGTCCAATGGGAGAAGTTCCTCTTCTGAGATTCCCCCTCCCCCGGGTGTCGAGTTCACAACGGGAGTTAACTGTGACAGGGTTTATGTGCACAGATATCACATGGTTTCTGTACTATTTACCTCAGACACTATAAATTCTGGCTCAGTACCCTGGGACACAGTAGTTGTGTGGTGATAAAGGCAACAAATGAAATAATCCTCTGCGCATGCCCAGCAAAGACAGCCATTGTAGACAGGCTGCTCAGTGTTTGGCCTGTGGAAAACTCAAGCTTTGCTTTTGGGAACGTTCTGGAATTTTTTTGCCTAGTTCTCAAGGGCTAGAACTGCAGGTTTGTAGCATAGCACAGCTACACCCCCACCCCACCCCACCCCAGTCTTCCTCCTCCCCCTCTTCCTCCTCCTCTTCTCTTCCTATATAGACTCTTTTCACAGGCTAGATAAACACCCTTACTACTGAGCTATATCTACAGCCCTCAATTTCTTGATTTTCCAGATAATATTTCCAGATAATGCAAAGATCTTTAAAACACCTTAGTCTGGATCATTTCCTTCCTGACCTCTATGATGTTATTATTTTGTACGTTAATTACATATTTCTCCCTCCTCCTCCCGCCCCTTCTCTCCCCTCCCCGGTTCTTATTACATCACCAAGGTTGGGCTTTAATTCCCAGTCTTCCCGCCTCACCCTCGTGGGTGCTAGAATTACAAGTACGCACCATTGTGCCCAACTACATCTCACTTGTGTGTGTATGTTATCCTGTTTGTGGAGCAGGGTGGAGGGGTGGGGGCAGTACACGTGTGTGTACATCCATGTGGAGGTCAGGGGACTAACTGCTTGTTCCCCATTCTAGCTCTTGTTTAAGACAAGTCTTCTCATTGGCTCGGAAGCTTACCAAGAAGGCAGGGCACACTGTCCAATGAGCTCCAGGGACCCACCTGCTTAGTTCAGTTTTACTTCATGCATTACTTCAATTTGTTACATGCCAACCTTTATTTCGTGATCTATGCATCTGAGATTGCATCAATTAACTCCTCACTAGAAAATTGTATATAATTTATGCGTTTACATTTTATCTGATGCTCCCTCCTTCCAAGTTTCCATTGTTCATATTATCATTTTGGTTCTGTGGGTGGATTCCATAATACCTTACATAGGGACAATTTTGTGTGTAGTCTGGGAATTGAAGCCAGGACCTTGAGCATCCTACTCTACTATTAAACAGTATACCTAGCCTCTTAATGTATTTAAACTTATTGTTCTATTTATGAGCCTTTGATGGTGTTTATTGGCCTTTACATATGAAAGATAATATTATGTGTCACTTATCCGTCTCCCATTCCCTCTACCTCCCTTTCTCCCTTTCTTGATTATTTTATTAGTGTTTATACTATACTTTCTATACTAGTATTTAGATTTTTGCTATTGAAATAAAGGCATAGAAATAAGGTTCAGCTCTACAGTCTAAGGCTCAGAGTTGTTTGACTCAGTTCTATATTTAATATACCTAATAATCTATTACTTTCTTCATTCCCAAGTTTTCCCCCTTCTGATCTGCATTGATGGGAATTATTATCATTCATATATGTATATATATATATATATATATATATATATATATATATATATCATATTACATATATTTTACAAGAAAGGCTTGTGGGTGATATCTTTCCTGAGTTTTACTTGATTGAAAATGTTACAATATTGCTTAAATGAAAATTTGGTTTTGTATAAAATTCTTAAGTTGTTTTTCCCTGAAGAAATGTTCTGACATTTAAATGTTGCCATGGAGATGCACGAGGTTTCCTTGATAAGTTTCATACTTGTCTGATCAAAAGCTGGGGGAAAATACCACTTTTACACTTTAATTAATACCAAGATTAAGCAACATGTTTCTTTTGCTTATTAAATATTTAGTGATTTTGATGAGAGCGTAAAGAGATGTCACTCCAAAGTCACAGCAGTTGGAGTAGCACACTGCTCTTCTGAAGGGGCTGGCAAACGGCTGCCCACAGGCAGGCTCTGGCCTGCACCTGCGTTGATGTGGCTCTCTGCAAAGTGACAGTGAATATTCTGAAGCCCATTTGGTGACTCGTGTCACTAATTTTTAATGCCAGTTAAGTGAAATGCTATCTGCCTTATAGTAGCAGGAGTATATAAAAATATGTAAAACAGAAGAAGAAGCGGGGGCCGGGGTGGCTCATGTCATTAACCGCAGCATGCAGGAAGCAGGGGCAAGTGGGTTTCTGTGACTTCAAGGCCAGCCAGGACTACATAGTGAGACCTTGGCTCAAAAAAAAAAAAAAAAAGTCTGTGCTCAATTAGTAGAATTTGTTACATTTTTATCAATAAGACATTTACAGAAACTTCTTTTTTCTTATACTTAAATATATATTTAAATAATATGCCCAATTTTGTCTCTTTGTCCACAAAGCTAAAAATACTTACTTTGGTCTGTTTCTGGAAAACTTACCAATTCCTGCTCTGTCACAGGTGCAGAAAGACCTTGGTTGGAGGATGGTTCTAACCCAGCCCCCGCCTCACCCCGCCCCTGGCTCACCCAGCCCCCGCCTCTCGGGGTCTATTTCTTTATCTATTTTGAGATCCCTCAGGTCAGTCTCTTTATCTTATTTTAAGATGTGGCCCTGACATCAAATCCTTCAGTTCTCAGCTGTGGAGGATGGCCCTTCTGTGGTGAATTTTGGTACTTTTTAGGTCTCAACTCAACGTTTTGTATACCCATGTCTAGTCATGGCATAGACTGTCCTGTATTGACACTGTAGATGTCAACTTCATACTCATTAACATTAGCATTTCTAGCATTTCTGTCTCAGTGAGGACTATTCTTGTCTTACTTGATTTACCTGAAGGACAGCTTGTTAGCTAAGACCCTTTCTATCTTACATTGGTTTCTAGGCTTAAATTCTTGACTTTAGTTACAGAATACTTCCCTACATTATCACCTTCTGGGTCTTGCTAGACTTTCCTTAGTAATCAAAAAGACGTACCCTGTTTCCTCTCTCTGCTCCTCCTTTTCACCGAGTGTGTGTGTGTGTGTGTGTGTGTGTGTGTGTGTGTTCTACAAGCTAAGCACATATTCTTCTACTGAGTTACTTGCACATTCAGCACAAGATTCCCTTTTCCATATTTCACCCCCTCCCTTTTGTTCTTTTACTATCTGCAGCCGAATGGTAGTATCTGGAAGTGACCTTTTGGTCTTTAGTAAATTCTGAAGTTATTTCAGTAGCTCGAGTCACTGCTGTGTTGACCTTCATCAGGTCTTTTTGGTCCTAAGACGTACAATTGTCAGCAGGGATGTAATGAAAACCAAAGTCGGGATGTAAATAAACCCACCAGCATGAGTAAGGAGAAGTGGTCTTGGAGAGGGATTTGGGGGACCTGGAGATTTATCACAAGAGGTAACTAGCTTAGTGCACATCTGGACGCGATGCTGTGTTCAAGAAATGCTTGCAGTTTGGAATATTATGCTAAGCCTTCGGAGAAGTTGACAACTCTGTCTGCAGGTTTGGATATCAATACGAATAGTTCTCAACTTGTCTTATATTAAAAATCCAACGTGGTTTTGTTTTTCAGAGTCAGTTATTTCAGAGTTTCACTTAGAAAACTAGATGGAGACATATATACCCATTGACCTGACAGTTCGAAAACCAGATGCAGATAAGAAGGAACACAAGCCACGACAAAGGTAAAAATGAGCTATAGTAAAAAGAGGTTTGGTTGCTTGTTTTTCTAGAGGAAAATTTCAATACTGTAGAGCTCCTGGGAAGCCATGGTGGGGCTGTAGCTCAGTTGATAGAGTGCTTGCTTATCTACCCTGTGTGAAACCCAGGCTCAATGCCCAGCATTACCTGGCTGTGGTAGCACTTGACCAATACGCTGGAGGTAAAGGCAAAAGGGTCAGAACTTCCAGATTATTTTTGGTTGCATATTGAGTTTAAGTCCAGTCTAGGCTGCATGAGACTTCACCTCAACAAACAAACAACCTTAAAATGTCATGAGTGGAGGGGGACAGTGGGGGGAAGTGAGAACAAGTTATAGTGACACATATGTATGAAAAACACCGTGATGAAATCTATTAGCTTGTCCTCTCACCTAAAAGTTAATTTCAAACTGTCATGTAAAGATTTATTGAGGGTTCTGGATTTCAGAAAACCTTGGAGTGACCCAGGTAATACCTTCTTGGGTTGATCTTACCCCGATCTCACCTTATGTCTTCTCGGGTAGCCCCAGTCCACTGCTGAATAATTACATTATTAAAGATAATCAGTGCATGACCATGAGGAAGGTTTCATAATATGAGGGAAATTAAAAAAAAATCAAAGAAGCATGGAAGAAACAGACTATGTGGATGTAGAAGTTCAGCAACAATCTCAAAGCTCTCATAAGACAACCAGAGAAATGAGAAATAGTCAACTTTTACAAGTTAAAAATACCTAACATTTGTAGAAAAAGAAATAGCTCTTGGAAATTAAAAATATAGTGTCAAGTCAGGCATGGTGGAGGCGCACCTTTAATCCCAGCACTCAGGAGTCTGAGGCAGAAGGATCTAAATAAATAAATAAATAAATAAATAAATAAATAAATAAATAAATAAATAAATACCATAATATCAGAAATAGAGTTGAGTTAGGAAGTAGGAGAGGAAGGAAATACATAGTTAACAAAATAAAATGGTCTCAATAAATCTAAAGTATGTTTCTAATAACAATAAACAAAAAAGTTCTAAGTAAAAGGCAAAAGATATGTACAATTTGAAGGGAAACTAGTTAAAAGTAGTTTAAAATAATTTTGAAAATGTCAAATTAGATATAGCTAAAATGCATGTTACGGAAACATCCTGGAAAGTATAAGAACATACCAACAGATGAAAAAGAAAAGGATGAGAAAACATGTAAAGACATTATTGTAGTATCAAAAGAAAATATTATCTGCTAGACAAGAAGTCTCTAAAGTAAAAGTGAAGATGAATAAACTATAACTTTATGATTTAAACATTGACTTCAAAGCCAGGCACAGTGGCGTGTGCTTATCATCCCAGAGCTTGGGAGGCAGAGGCAGGAGGATTGTCCCGAAACAGAGGCCAGCCTGATCTGCATAGTGAGACTCTGTCTCAACACACACACACACACACACACACACACACCAATTATGTGGGCAACAGCTGTTGCAAACGCAAATAGGTCTATTTGAAGCAAAAACTGACAAAATAAAGGAAAAATTGGCAAATTTACCATTTTATTAAGTTATTCTCTTTAGCTGACAGACCAGGCATCAAAGCTAATGATAATATAGAAGACAGAAACAACCAAGTTAGCATCCTTATTTTAAAGTAGACAGCGACACAGGATTAGTTGTTGCCCACCCCCCACCCCCCATAACTGCAGGATACAAATGCTCTACCACATTATGTGGAACAATTACAAAGTGAGCATAGAAAGTCATGATCATTTTAACAAAGTTTCAAAAGTTTAATACATGTGATACACTAATTATGTCAGTAACAAATTGTAGCTAGAGTTTTCCTGCCTTGCCCACAGTCAGGACAAATCTCTGTCACCCGCCAGTCCCACAGCCGCTCAGACCCAACCAAGTAAACA